AGGGGAGGCAGTCAGGTACAATGGAAGGAAGGGGAGGCAGTCAGGTACAATGGAAGGAAGGGGATGCATTCAGGTACAATGGAAGGAAGGGGAGGCAGTCAGGTACAATGGAAGGAAGGGGAGGCAGTCAGGTACAATGGAAGGAAAGGGAGGCAGTCAGGTATAATGGAAGGAAAGGGAGGCAGTCAGGTACAATGAAAGGAAGGGGAGGTAGTCAGGTACAATTGAAGGAAAGGGAGTCAGGTACAATGGAAGGAAAGGGAGGCAGTCAGGTACAATGGATAGGAAGGGGAGGCAGTCAGGTACAATGGAAGGAAGGGAGGCAGTCAGGTACAATGGAAGGAAGGGGAGGCTGTCAGGTACAATGGAAGGAAGGGGAGGCAGTCAGGTACAATGGAAGGAAGGGGAGGCAGTCAGGTACAATGGAAAGAAGGGAAGGCAGTCATGTACAATGGAAGAAGGGGAGGCAGTCAGGTACAATGGAAGGAAGGGGAGGTAGTCAGGTACAATGGAAGGAAGGGGAGGCAGTCAGACAATGGAAGGAAGGGGAGGCAGTCATGTACAATGGTAGGAAGGGGAGGCAGTCATTTACAATGGAAGGAAGGGGAGGCAGTCAGGTACAATGGAAGGAAGGGGAGGCAGTCAGGTACAATGGATGGAAGGGGAGGCAGTCAGGTACAATGGAAGGAAGGGGAGGCAGTCAGGTACAATGGAAGAAGGAAGGCAGTCAGGTACAATGGAATGAAGGTGAGGCAGTCAGGTACAATGGAAGGAATGGGAGGCAGTCAGGTACAATGGAAGGAAGGGGAGGCAGTCATGCACAATGGAAGGAAGGGGAGGCAGTCAGTTCAATGGAAGGAAGGGGAGGCAGTCAGGTACAATGGAAGGAAGGGGAGGCAGTCAGGTACAATGGAAGGAAGGGGAGGCAGTCAGGTACAATGGAAAGAAGGGGAGGCAGTCAGGTACATTGGAAGGAAGGGGAGGCAGTAGGTACAATGGAAGGAAAGAGAGGCAGTCAGGTACAATGGAAGGAAGGTAGAGGCAATGAAGGGGTCAGGTACAATGGAAGGAATTGGAGGCAGTCAGGTACAATGGAAGGAAGGGGAGGCAGTCAGGTACAATGGAAGGAAGGGGAGGCAGTCAGGTACAATGGAAGGAAGGGGAGGCAGTCAGGTACAATGGAAGGAAGGGGATGGCATGTCAGGTACAATGGAAGGAAGGGGAGGCAGTCAGGTACAATGGAAGGAAGGGGAGGCAGTCATGTACATTGGAAGGAAGGGAGGCGAGTCAGGTATAATGGAAGGAAGGGAGCGTTCAGGTACAATGAAGGAAGGGGAGGTCAGTCAGGTACAATTGGAAGGAAAGGAGTCAGGTACAATGGAAGGAAGGGAGGCAGTCATGGTACAATGGAAGGAAGGGAGGCAGTCAGGTACAATGGAAGGAAGGGGAGGCAGTCAGGTACAATGGAAGGAAGGGGAGACTGTCAGGTACAATGGAAGGAAGGGGAGGCAGTCAGGTACAATGGAAGGAAGGGGAGGCAGTCAGGTACAATGGAAGAAGGGGAGGCAGTCATGTACAATGGAAGGAAGGGGAGGGAGTCAGGTACAATGGAAGGAAGGGGAGGTAGTCAGGTACAATGGAAGGAAGGGGAGGCAGTCAGGTACAATGGAAGGAAGGGGAGGCAGTCATGTACAATGGTAGGAAGGGGAGGCAGTCATTTACAATGGAAGGAAAGGGAGGCAGTCAGGTACAATGGAAGGAAGGGGAGGCAGTCAGGTACAATGGATGGAAGGGGAGGCAGTCAGGTACAATGGAAGGAAGGGGAGGCAGTCAGGTACAATGGAAAGAAGGGAAGGCAGTCAGGTACAATGGAATGAAGGGGAGGCAGTCAGGTACAATGGAAGGAAGGGGAGGCAGTCAGGTACAATGGAAGGAAGGGGAGGCAGTCATGTACAATGGAAGGAAGGGGAGGCAGTCAGGTTCAATGGAAGGAAGGGGAGGCAGTCAGGTACAATGGAAGGAAAGGGAGGCAGTCAGGTACAATGGAAGGAAGGGGAGGCAGTCAGGTACAATGGAAGGAAGGGGAGGCAGTCAGGTACAATGGAAGGAAAGAAGGCAGTCAGGTACGAATGGAAGGAAGGTGAGGCAGTCAGGTACAATGGAAGGAATTGGAGGCAGTCAGGTACAATGGAAGGAAGGGGAGGCAGTCAGGTACAATGGAAGGAAGGGAGGCAGTCAGGTACAATGGAAGGAAGGGGAGGCAGTCAGGTACAATGGAAGGAAGGGGAGGCAGTCAGGTACAATGGAAGGAAAGGGAGGCAGTCAGGTACAATGGAAGGAAGGGAGGCAGTCAGGTACAATGGAAGGAAGGGGAGGCAGTCAGGTACAATGGAAGGAAGGGGAGGCAGTCAGGTACAATGGAAGGAAAGGGAGGCAGTCAGGTACGATGGAAGGAAGGGGAGGCAGTCATGTACAATGGAGGAAGGGGAGGCAGTCAGGT